GACAATATTTTCCCAGCCCGTGTCGCAAAACGCCAGCGTACAAAAGATATGGAGTAACCCGCGTGTCGCGTGTCTTCTTGGCTTTTTCTTGGAAGCCTTCTTACATCTATCCCTTTTTGTCCTTTTGCCGTTCCCACCGCCAAACGAGCCCTGACAAAGCCCGACGTGCGCGGTAAAGAATCGACCTGGACGATGGCGCCTCCTACATCAAACACAGCCCTTGTGGGCAGCGGGGACTCGGCGCGGCCCGCTGCCAAGCCCTCGACCGTGCACATACCGTCCAAAGAGCAGCTCGAAGCCAATTACAAGATCGCCGCCGCGGCCGCGGCTGGCACGCTGCACCGCGAGGTTGCCGACGCACAGTCGACGGACATCTTGTGGGCGCTGGTGGCGCTGCGCTGGATTGGCGCCTTTACTGTGCGCACGTTCTTCCAGCCGGACGAGTACTTCCAGGCCCTGGAGCCGGCGTGGCAGCTGGCCCACGGTCCCGCGAGCGGCGCGTGGATCACCTGGGAGTGGAAGCACCGGCTGCGCGCGTCGCTGCACCCGGTTCTCTTTGCGGGTGTCTATGCCGGGCTGGAGTACGTGCTCGGCCTAATCAACCTTGTCGGACCCCTGCGTGCCTATGTTGTGGTGGCTGCTCCTGGTCTCGTTCAGGCCGTTTTTACCGCGACCACCGACTTCTACGTGTGGCGCCTCGCCAGCCAGCTGTACGGCCGTGGACACAACGCGGCATGGGCTGCCTTTTGGCTCTCCGTGGCCAGCCCGTGGCAATTTTACTGTGGTGCACGCACGTTCAGCAACGGCCTCGAGACCACGCTGACCGCTGCCGCTCTCTCCTTTTGGCCATGGCAGCTGCTGGCCGGTGCCGTGAGCGACAAGCCCGTGAGCGAACTGTTGACCAATGGCGGCATCCGTCGTCTCCGTCTCTCGCTCGTCCTCGCCGCGACCGCTGTCATTTTGCGGCCAACGAACATTCTCATCTGGTTGGCCTTGATCACCGTCACTGTGACGCGCCTGACGTTGGACGGCGGCTCCTCGTTCCTGGGTGCCGGCGTGGTTGGCCGTCTGCTCTTGGAGGCAATTGGTTCTGGCAGTCTCGTGTTGGGCGTGTCGGCCCTGTCCGATCGTCTCTTTTATGGGGCCTGGACGTTCCCGGCATACACATTCCTCGACATCAATCTGACACAGGACGTTGCCATTTTCTACGGCAGCAGCCCCTGGCACTATTACTTGTCGCAGGGCCTGCCCTTGCTCACCACCACTGCACTTCCCTTTGCGCTCTACGGATTGTACGATTCGCTTGTTGCGGGTCCTGCGACCAAAGCAACCCCGGCCAAGGCCGTCAAGGCCGCCGACGGTGCGAATGTGGACCCCACCCGCCGCGCCAATGCACGCAAAGCGCTCTCGTTTGTTGTCGTGGCTACCGTGTCGTCGCTGTCGCTCATCGCTCACAAGGAGGTGCGTTTTATCTACCCGCTTCTGCCGGTCCTGCTGGTGCTGGCTGCGCCGCATGCGGCCGCATTCTACTCCACCGTCGTCGCCACGGCACCCAAAACCGCCGCCGAGGCCACGACTACCACGACGCTGCGCCACAAGCGCGTGCTGTGGGGCGCCCTGGCCGTCAACGGTCTTCTGGCCGGCTACCTGTCGCTCCTCCACCAGCCCGCGCCCTTGTCGGTGCTGACTTTCTTGCGCACCGAGTACGAGCGCATCCACCACGACTGGCTCGAGATCCCGTCCGGCGAGCTGCCGACGTACGACGTGTACCCCGACTCTTTCGCCTCGGCGGCCTCTGCGTCGACAGCCTCTGATGGTGACGGTGACGAGCTGTTTGCGCTGTTCCTGACGCCCTGCCACTCGACGCCCTGGCGCTCCCACCTGGTGTACCCCGGCCTGCGCGCCCGTGCGCTGACCTGCGAGCCGCCCCTGGACACGGCACCCAAGTCGGCGGAGCGCGCCGCGTACCTGGACGAGGCGGACCGGTTTTACGCGCCGATCAAGGTCGAGGGCGCCAGCCTCTCTCAGCAGAGCCAGTTTCTGTCCTCCGAGCTTTGGCCGCTGACGAAGGAGACGGGCAGAAAAGGGGTGACCCGCAGCGGTGAGATCCCGCGGTACATTGTCGGGTTCGAGGGCATCGAAGGCCTGCTGAACCACTTTTTCGCTTCCGAGGACCCGCTCACGGGCGGTGCGGGCCTGGGTGTGCGGACGCCGCTGCACCGTGCGTGGGTCGGATGGAACGGGTTCTTCAACGAGGACGCTCGCCGATCTGGCTCGCTGATTGTGTGGGACACGGGCGTGTATAGCAACGCGAGCCATCCGGACTCCGAGCGTACGTACGACGAGATGTTCCGGCCGCAGAAGCTCATTTAATGAGAGACAGGGTGTAAGGGTGAAATTGAACTGTGTAAGATACAATGGCATGGCATGCAGCGCGCAATACACATTAAAGCATATATTACTTGTACATTCTACTTTTGTTATTTGCACCACTTGAGAAACAATATTATTTACTGTAAACTCGTTTCATTAGCACAATTCAACCTCTTTGATTGCTACTCTATGCTCTAATATTCGGCGAACCTGAGAATTGATGTGGTTCGCCTACTTTCCAATTCACCTTGTTCCACCTTGAGATTCCACAACCTCAGAAGGGTATAATAGTTTTCTTTCGTCATCATCGACAAATCAAAATATCGATACAACTAACCAAATTCCATCCACATTACACATACCATTACAGCATATAGCGGAAGTCCGGGTTCAGGTCCTAGAGATGGTGTTAGTTGATACACTGTACAATCGAATGTAGCATAGGTAGAAAGGAAAACTTACACCGAGCTCAGTCTTCTCGTACTCGGTCATTCCAACGTCGCGCACGGCCTTTTCACGTCGGCGGTTCTCCATCACCAGTGCGGCAAAATATAAACAACACGAGATGGCGCTGATCAGGACAAATCCGATGCAGATGGCGTAACCTTTGGTAAACTTGGGCGCGTCCGTGGAGATGAAGCAGTAGGTGGCGATGATGCCGCCAATGTTGCCGAAACCAATCTGCCAGGCGACGCCAATAGCACGGCGGTGGTGGCCGCCCAGGTTCATACTAAACCAGCACACAATAACGGGCATCGCAGAATAGGTACCCGCACAGATGAGAAACAGGGCGGCGTATTCGGCGTGCAGGTTGTCGTGGATGGCCAGCAGCATCGAGAAACCGGCAATGGGCAGGCAGATGGGGCCGATCGTGAACAAGAAGCGGTGACGGGTCTTGTCGGAGAAGTAGGCGACGATCATAGAGAAACCAAAGGCAGTGGCCCAGGGCGGGACGGAGTGCAGCTGAGTCTGGATGGGGCCGTAGTGGTAGGTGGCGATAATGGTCGGGCTGAAGAAAGCGTAGCTGTAGGCGGGGACGATGAGGCCAAAGTACATGAAACCACCGAGAATAATCTTGTAGTCGCGCAGAACGGTCAATATATCACGGAAAGTGACCTTGCGCTCGGCGGCGTTGTTGCCCTGGTCGGCACGGAGGCGAGCCTTGAGGTACTCACGCTCGTCCTCGCGCAGCCACTTGGCCTGCTCGGGGCTGGATCGGTGTTAGTCGTCGAAGATATTTTGAGGATAAGTGATATTGGCGAGAGCTTACAAAGACGGGAAAGTGAACAAGAAGATAAAGCAGATCAGAAACGAGACGCTACCCTCGAGAATGAAAATCCAGCGCCAGCCTCTGTAGCCACGAAGTTTGTCCACTAATTAAGAGTTAGAGACGTCCGAAGTCCTTAAAAAGGGAGAAGCCAGGAGCCGGTAGAAGAGCTCACTCTTGCCAATGGCCGAGGCCAGGAGGCCACCGAAAGCGCCAGCGAGCGAAGTGGATGAGAAGAAGAAGGAGTAGCGGCGCTGGGCGTCCTCGCGACGGTACCACATGCCAAGGAGGTAGAAGCAGCCTGGAAACATGCCGCACTCAAACAGGCCGAGGAAGAAACGCGTGGCCAGAAGACCGCCGTAGTTCTGGACCAGTCCCTGGAACACGGTGACAGCAGCGAAGCCCATGCCACAGCAGCTTAGCCAGACACGCGGTGAGAAGCGCTTTAGCATGATGTTGGACGCAAGCTCAAAGACAACGTAGGGCACGAAAAAGATGGTCAGGGCGGTGTTGTACTGGACACCAGACAGCTGGAGGTCATCGGCGAGATAAAAGACCTTGGCATTCGCGATGTTGATACGGTCGAGGAAGGCGACGAGGTACAGCAGAGCGAGGAAGGGCACGACGCGTAAGTCGATGCGGCGCATCAGCTTGGCGTGAGTAGTATGCGGCGGAACGGGGACGTTGAGCTCGTCGACAGTGCGGCCAGCGGCATTAGGGCTCGCGTCGCGGATGCCATGGGCCTCAATGACGCCGATGTTGTTGCCATGCAGGGCGGCATTGTTATCGATGTCGAAGGCGCTGGTGCCTTCTTTGTTGCCATAGCCATTGTCTTCCGGCGTTGGCGGGGGCGCTTATGTATACTGTTAGAAGGAGTTGCGGGCATCCATACAGGCCAAACGAGAGAGGACTTACACCTCTTAAAAAATCCCATGTTGATAGCTCCGCAGGTGGCGGTGCTGGTTGCAGAAGTACAGGACTGCCAACAGTGGATAGGCTGAGAAAGACGGAGGGGGAAAATAGGAGAAAGAAAGCAAAGAAGCGGAGGACGAGGGGAGATGAAAGAAAAATAAGAAAATGAGCACGGATGGAAAAAAAGCACCAGTGATCGACGTTACTCCAAAAACCCAGAAGACGGTTTGTGAAGCGAGCCTGGCGACGGGGGCGGCGTTGCAATATATGGAGTTAATTAAGGTGTTTCCGTCGCACAGGAGAATTAATGGACCGCGTGGCGCCCACCTAGACGATGCGCGTGTGTTCCCTGGATGCTGGTAAGCAGGGGGCGGATAAAGGATGGATGCTGTCTTGAGAAGAAAATGAGAAGAAAAAGACAAGGTGGGAAGCACATGAGAGATCGAAAATGACCAAGACGAGGAAAGGTCAGACTCGGAAGGTGCGTTATGTACAGGAAGGCAAGGGGCAGCACAGGGCAAGGAAGGGGCACGATATAAACAAGCTGTGGTCGGGGAAGGAGCCCGCAAGAAAGCCAAGAGAGTGCCTATGCCGGACGAGAGAAAAGAAAGCGAAGTGTCACTGGGAAGGGGGGAGGGGGACGTTCGATGGAAAGACCGTTGCCAGCAGGATGCGGAGGCGCGATGTGGAGAGAAAAGGCGAAGAGGTGCTAGCGAGAAAGGAAGGAGGTAACAGGCAAGGTGCACGGCAAGGTCGAAGGAAATGGTATTAGAAGTAGAAGGGACGATGGAGGCCAAAACAGGAAAGGAACCTAGGAGAAATAGTAGTCCAGCAACATAACAACACAACATACAAACAGATACGGACGACCGGATCGCGAGAGGAAAAGATGCACTGCAGCAGAAGGAGGCAGTTGCGTTGCGGAACAGCCGGCGCAGAAAAAAATACCAGGATGTGTGTTGCTGGATGCGTGTGAAGAACCGGGGGAAGGGACTGGAGGAGGAGTGAAAACGTACGGAGTAATACAAGGTGCGTGAACCGTGTCTGGGCTAGTTCGTGACCCCGTGCCTAAGGTCAAGTGTTGCATGTCGCGCTTTCCGGAGAGAGAAGGAGCTGATGTCGATCGGAAGTTGGCGAGGAAGGCGTGTGGGCGGGGAGAAATGTGCCGAGGAAGGAATATGGGGAGGGGAGGGGAGGTTAAAGAGAGGACACGGAAGGACCAGTTCGAAGTCGATTGAGAATTTTGGAAGGAGCCAAGGGATGGCAAAAGGTGTAAGGGAAGAGCTGACGGAGACAGGAGACAAAACTAAAAAGCAAATAGACAAAACGGAAGGGACGAGGGACTCAGCCACGAGATGTCTAAAATGCGAATCACCAAAACAATCGTCCTCGCGAGTCCGGTTTAACTGGCGGGGCGGCAGAGACAACGCTGTCAGACATCGAATGGAACGGCAGGGTCCTGTTTGCATTCGCCTCGTCATAATACGCCGTATTTTGTCCGTGTTGTGCTTGGTCTAACACGTCGATCGCCGCTTTTTCCATGGAGATGACTGCACCCTGCATACGAACGCCTCCAATTTTTGCGGTTCTCCCCAAAGCACCTCGGACTCGGACTTCTACGCATACCAATGAGTCAACATATCCAGTTCACAAATCCCAAGCGACATCGGGGTAGCAGGCGGAGCATTTTGATAGTTTCTGACTCCGTCGTCTGGCCTTTTCTTATACCCAACTCCGTACTGGCCCAAATATATTTCTCTCCTTCGGGCCGTAGCTCGCTCCTTCCTCCTGTTGAAGAATAACCGTCGTTCCATCTTTTGGGCCTCAAATTGCCACTTGTCTTTTCAAATGGTGCCAGCCGGTGATGCAGCACTAACGGAGAGCGGAGGTTAACCACGGACGCATCTTACGTTCCCCACACGATGCACGGCAGGTAGCCCGGGTAGGTCACCGTATGTGGAAAGAACTGGGCCTTGAAAAATTAACCTGTGATCGTGGGCTGGACTTGCCCTCTGGACCCAACTTGCATCCACAATTGCGGAGACGTGCAGCTTTTGGGAGGCTACTTTCGTCAAAATGACAGGGAAAAAAAACAGCGTAGCATTGGGGAAGAAATAAAGCCACCATTGGAGCGCATCATGTGGTGTTGGCTAACGAGACGGACATTCAAAGGGCGAGGCCGAAGGGGCGAGTGTGGCTAAGAGACAAAACGGCCAAGCGTTGGAGAGAAACGGAAACGAAGCAGAAACGCCTAGTCGAATCACATTCTCGACTTGTTCTTTTGCTTCCATGCATCTTGGCTTTCTTGGCTCGCGCTGGATTCTCAGTCTCACCTGCCTATTTCGCCTTCGAAAGGGGCCAGAGCCTCCGGTACTCGGGGTAGAAACAGGTCCTGGTCCACACTTTGGTTTGCTTTAAATTGTTACTGCAGTTCACCGTTTTTTCTGGTCCAATGTGTCTACGTGCAGACAAACGTCGACATGCCTACCGCCAATCCTAACCAGTTCTAATCATCTTTTTGAGGGGTTCCTCCGGTTCTAACAGCTTAGAATTCAGATCGTCCAGGTCCTGATGACCAAGCGTAAGAGTCTGATCATTCTTGTCCGCTCCGTGACACATTGTTCATTCGTCTGCAGTCGTCGTATATGTCTACCGTCCGTCTGACAGACAGTTCTCAAAAGTCAGCCCGCTACAATACGAAGACGGCCCGCCTTGCAACGTGATAACGCTTTTACGAGGGCTGACGCTGATCCATGCTATGCCTTTTTGCAAATTTCCCTAAACGACGTATTACTTTCCGCCACAACACAAGGCTTAATTGCGGCGGCCTCAACTTGGCCCCCAGTTGTCGATCGAGCTTATGTCCGCTGACTGTGCTAAACTGCAGTCCAGCCCAGTATCTCACACCTGTGTTCCGTAAACTCAAAACTTCTGCGGATATCCCGCCGGCCAAAACACACCCGTCTCACTTCCGACCTAAATATCTCATATTTTTGCTCCGGCCCAGTTGACTACCGAAATGCGCGTAAAATTACGATCCCGCTATGTCCTCAATGGGCGACGGACAGTTACAACGTCCGTTTTAGGGCATCTACATAAGACTATCTAGCAATTTTTTGTCGACGACACTCGTATTCTACTCGCCCTCTCCCTCACAAGTCGCCCCACGTCATTGGCCAGCTTTCACAATTTACAAATCGTGGCTGACTCTTCGTCTGTTGTCTGTCACCCTGTGGCTTGCTGGTTAGCCCTCTTCTGGAGTAGCCTCGTTTTGAGCCTCATTTCTTGGCCAGGCGTGTAACGTGCCAGTGGACTTCCAAAGAAAAAGAATTGCGCTGTTCTCCTTCACAAGATGCTGAGCCTTGCTCTGTCAGGAATTATACCGTAATTAAGTCAACCATAGCCTGGCTACCAAACATAGCAGTGACAGACATTTGTCACAAACTAAGACCACTTCCAGCCGGCAACAGGTTTTGCATGCATGTTCATGCATTGGTCGTAAAATGCGATGCAGTACATACGTGGGGACATATTCGGATCTTGGACGATCTGGATAGTGTCCTATAGGTCCATAATGAATAACTATTAGCTAACGAATACTAGGTGGCTTGTTGTAAATATAAATTTCAGGATAGATACTCTTAAAAGTCATCCGAATAGATGTGTATCTTTTCCGTATAATTGTATGTCACGCTGAATCATTTATTGACGTAATCATTTCATGTGCCAGTAAATATGTGGTGTAATCTGGTCAATATATGTTCACGTGAGTTACTACCTCAAGTCCATAGAACGCTGGACACAACCTGTTAAAGAAAACCCATTTATCAAGTGGCAACTGAAGTTACAGGTTTATGAGGGATCTTGACCCAATGGGTGGTCGAATGTGTAACTACCGCTTGAGGGACGGAATCAGATTCAGATCTAGATACAGGCAGATGAACTGGAGGTGCAATTTAAGACTAGCTTAGATACAAGGAAATGAAAGAAGAAAAGAACACGCGGAAACTGGGAAGAGGAGGGAGGGAATGAGGGATCGAAGGACCGGGAAGGGGTGCAGCCGTCATGCATATCCGTAGACCCATGAAGGAGTCTGGGGAGGAGCCTTTGACCTTAAAATAAGCTTAAATTGCGGGAAGGGCACATTAGAGGCAGATCTTGTTCCCGAGACAGGGGAAGGAGGGGAGAAACGGGAATGAATGGCGTTATCTCGATCTTGAGCAAGTGAGGGAAAAAGTGGCGATGCCGCCGGTAGCCGATGGAACCCGCTTTGAAAAGGCTTAAGCCGCGCCAAGAGCTGACATCCGCGTGTCCTCCTGGGACAAGTAAGATTGCAAGAAACGCATAAAAGGAGAGACCGCCTTCTTTTTCTGACTTTTCTTTCTTCCTCTGTTTCCTCATTTTGGCCGTGGTGGTTTGTTAAGTTGATCTAGAGGTCGTCCGTGGACGGGGTCAAATCAACCGGCAAACTTCATCTTCCTTTTCCCTTAATGTAGACAGACCATCGGGTATCAGCTTCTGAGCAATGCAAGTCACTTAAACGGAGTGACCGAAGTGACAAAAGTGGCAATAGGACGTGGAGAAAAGTGGAAAAGAAAATCCGTGTTGAGATGCATGCAAAAATAGACAAAGGTAAACAAGATAAATACAGTAAAGAATGGCTAATGATTCCAATGGACTCCAAACGATACACAAGAGGGGCGCTACTATGAGACCGCTGGAGTGCAGTGGCCCGTCTCCTCAAGCTATTGACTCATTAAAGGTATAAAACAAACGCGCACATATTTTCAACATGCGTCAATCCAAATCCCTCGTCTCGGAGAATCTCCCTGTTGGGGCGCATTGTGGTCGACCAGGAAGAGCAAGCCGACATGGCGTCGGGATCAATTTCTTTTCCATTTCCCACCTGTCATTGGTGCGGAAGAAACGGCGTGGCAGCGTCCTCCAACGCTGCCTCGCCCCGTCACCGGTGCTCAAGCTGCCCCTGTCCCTGCTCCGGCTGCAGATACTGGGGCTGGCCCTCCGTCGGCAGTTCGACCGGTGGCGTCCACGACTCGCCAGATACCTCGGCCATGGGCGTCGACGCACCTGCGGAATAGTAGTATTTCTGCTGCTGCTCGAGCCCCGGCGATGCGCTTGTCGACACTGCTGTGTACGCGATGCCCGAGTGTGGACTGTGTGCAGAGTTGCTGGTGCCGCCGTATTGATTAGCCGCATCGCCAGCGCCGCCGGCGAGTTCTGCACCGTCGGAGAGGTTGCCGTTGCCGGCCGCTGCCCGCCGGTTGCGAATAAAGAGCCAGGCGGCGGCGCCAATGAATGCGACGGCGCCCAGGGCGGCGCCGATGCCGATGCCAGCCTTGGCGCCGGTGCTAAGACCACTGCTGGAGGACGAGGTGCTGCCGGAGTCGCCGCTGGAGCCGCTGCTGCCAGTTGGGCCACTACTGGCGGCGCTGCCGGTATTGGTGGCGGACTTGGAAGATGGCACAGAAGACGTGGACGAGGGGATGTCAGTCGAATGGTAGCGGATCTGGAGGCCAAAGGCGTTGAGGCCCTCGGCATCCGTCACGGTGGACACCACCTTCCCAGCGCCAATGATGTTGGTTGTGTATACAAACACCTGCTTGGTCGACATGACGTACGTACACTGGTCGGTCGAGTACCATGGCCAGTTCGTCTCCGTCTGGCATTGGTAGCCTCTGAACATGTTTAGCGCCCTGGAACAAACAAGACAATCAAACGCAGAGTTGCAAAACGCAACAAACAATGGTGGGTTAATGACAACGTACGTGGGACAGCATGTCGCGCGCGTTTCGGCACCGACGGTGCTCGAGCAGGCCTCCGTGTAGCCCTCGGGACAGACACCTGGCGAAAAGTACTTGGTCGCGCTCCAGCCGGACGGGAAACAGTTGGATACGCTGCTGTCGACGCCGAGGTGGTAGTATTCGCACGGAATGAGACTGGAGCCGATGGCGCACGTTATGCCTGGGTACGGCATTTTGTAGACATCGATTGTGCACGACGGCGACGGCACGAATGTCGTCGTGAGCGAAGGAACGGCCGACATGGCTGCAAAGTTGGGCTCCTGTTAGACCGATTGTACTTCCTTCTCCTTGTTTTACTGCTTTGGAAACGGATGCCGATTGTCGATGGTAAGAAACCGTATCGAATCTGTTCGCGTACCGAACGCGGTCTTCGTGCCAACAATGGCGACAGTGGCGACAGTAGCGACGATGTTGACGATGTTCACGCTATTGATTTGCAATATCTATGTCGACGATGTTGATGATGTTGCCAACAAAAAAAATGTTTTGATATTCTCACAATGTTGAACCTCTCTTCATCTGCAGACAGGTTTCGGAGGAACCAATCTAAAAAACACACCAAACCACGATGCCGACTGATGATAAAAATAAAATAAGAAGAAGAAAAAAAGGATATGGAGGGAAAACAGAGACGCCAAAGCTGCAACACACGAAAATCAAGGAGAGGAAATGAGCGGAAAGGAAATTGCTTCACGCGAAAGGATCATCGTCTCGCTCAATACGCCTGCTAGCGGAGCGAACACAACACGCTCCGTTCCAAGGCACTGTCCACCTTTACTCCGTATGTGAAGGAAGAAACCCAGAGGATCAGAACCTGGCACAAACCAGGGAATCTTACCCTGCCACTCTGCACCACTTCCTACGTCCTTCGTTCTTAGATGCTCTGTTTTGTGGCTTTCTGTTTCTCGGTTGGGCCAGTGGCTGGCATTGAGGCATAGCCTCCGTGTTGACCCCTGGCCGACTCTTGGCCACTCGCCCTCTTGCAGACAATGTGCTTCAGCCCCTTTTTCGCGTCCTGCGCAGGGTTTTGCGTCGCATCCATCATGATCCTTCGCTTCTAGTGCCAAGCCGAAATCAGCACGAGCGACGCTCTTCCCTCTCCTGCCATGCAACATGAGCTGGTGAGGTAGGCGCCAGGCCCACACCTAGGGGCTTTTGGCGTCAATTGGTGGTGCAAAAATACACGTGACACGCCTAGAAAGGCTTAGACTGGCAAGTAGATTACCCACTGAGCCACTGTTTTGCCTACTGCTTATCCACTGATGTCCCCTGTATTGTCCAAATTCTGCAGGTCCTCACCCATAGTGTGGCGTTGAATGGACACTAAACATCATCACTAAAACCAAAATCAAAATACTGTCGTGGCGTTGATAGCCGGACTGCGGATTCAAAATAGACAGCCAAGATATTAAAATAGACAGCATCGCCTCCTCAAGAAGTCGGAAAATAATGGGGCGAACCGTACGACAAGTGCCGTAACCAACAACCAGACGTAATCATACCTTACCTCGCTGAGGATTGACCCTCATATTGTGACATTTATTTTCAAAGTCGAAAGAGGAGTCACGTGCTATCTGTCGTGTAATTATGTAAGCGTAAAATTTATTGGCACCTCTCCAGACGGGCAAAAGTCAACAACATCAGACGCACCACGGCCACCGCGTTATGCTTTTCTAGTCTGGCCCGCCATGTCGCTCTACCACGAGGCTGCCACGGCACTGACGGCCCCGGCTTCGGACGGCGGCAACCTCAAGACGCGTATTTTTGGTCCGCGCAGCAAGGACGCCAAAGACGTGCAGACGGCCAAGGGCAAAGAGGCCAAGGAGAGCGGTCGCCGTGGAACCGGCGTCATCCCACCGGCCCAGATCTATGCGCTCGCCGCCGAGTCGTGCAAATGGAGCGCGGTCCTGAGCGAGGTCATTGACCGTGCCGGCCTGCTCGAGCACGAGCGCCGCGCCCGCCTCACGCCCGTCCTGGCGCTGCTGCTCGTGCACGATTTGCTCGTGGCCAAGAACGGCAATGGCAACATCCAGCTGCCCGCGCACCACGGCCTGCGGGCGGCCGTCGAGCGGCACAAGACGCGGCTGTCGGCCGAGCTGACACGGGCCCGGCTGCGGCGCGGCGCCCTGTCCTTGCACGTGCTGCGCGAGCAGGTGGAACGGGCGGCTGCGGCGTCGGTGTCGACGACGTCGTCGCTGGCGGCGGCGACGCGGTGGGTGCGGGTCAACACGCTCAAGACGACACTGGAGCAGCAGCTGGCGACGACGTTTGCGGGCTATGAGCAGGTCGCTACCCTGCACTCCCTGTTTGCGGCCGACGCCGACGGGCCGCGATTGTATATCGACGAGCACGTGCCCAACTTGGTGGCGGTGCCCTTGGTTGCCGTGCCCGCGTCGTCGTCATCGTCGTTATCGTCGTCGTCTGCTGTCCAGACAGATCTGACCCGCTGCGATGCGTACAAGCGTGGCGCCATCATCTTCCAGGACAAGGCCTCGTGCTTCCCTGCGTACCTGCTGGACCCCGCATCGGTGCCCGGTGGCGGCCACGTCATTGATGCTTGTGCGGCACCGGGCAACAAGACGAGTCACCTGGCGGCCCTGCTGGGCGAGGAGAAGGCACCGACCGACCGCCGCGTGTTCGCCTTTGAAAAGGACAAGTACCGAAGCAAGACGCTGCAGAACATGCTGCAAAAAGCGGGCGCACTGGCCGCCGAGAGCGGTGACGGCGCCGAAGTCGGCATGAGCATCGCCACCGTCGACGCTGGACAGGACTTTTTGAAAGTCGACCCGACGGCCGAGCGGTTCCGCGAAGTGCGCGCCCTGCTGTTGGATCCCAGCTGTTCTGGCAGCGGCATCGTCGGCCGCGATGCTATGCCCGAACTACACCTGCCCAAGGTAGCCAAAGTCATAAGGGGCACGTCACAACAGGGCATGCCGACCGGCAGCGGCAGGAACAAACGGAAACGCGGGGCCGAGGCCGAGACGAAGAAGGGAAAAAAGGAAAATGAGGAAGACATGGGTGACGATGTCCCTGCGGACGCCACGACCGCCCTCGACGACCTCCAAAGCAAGGACAATCCCAAGGCGCGCCTGGCCGCGCTCGCTTCGTTTCAGCTGGCCATTCTGCTGCATGCGTGCTCATTCCCGTCTGCCCAGCGCGTGACCTACTCGACATGCTCGGTGCACGCCGAGGAAAATGAGCAGGTGGTGGTGCGGGCGCTGCGGGCGCTGCGACGAGCGGAGGCTGGACGTTGGCGACTGTTGCGGCGCGACGAGCAGGTGGCAGGGATGCAGGCATGGCCCGTACGGGGTGATCCCAAGGGCGCAGAGAACGTGCCAAGGACTGAGGACGAGGACGATGACCAAGACGAAGACGCAGCGGCTGTGGCCGAGGCGTGTATTCGGTCGTATGCCAACGACGACCGGGGCGTAATGGGCTTTTTCGTGGCGGCGTTTGTGCGAGACGAGGCTGGCGCAGAAGGGACGAAAACAGCAAGTAGGGCACAAGACACAGAACAGTCACCACAAACTAACGGTGAACCTACAAAGAAAAAGTCCAAAAAAGGCCAAGAAAAAGACCAAGAAGGCAACAGGGACGGTTGCTCACCCGCCTGTCGAAGCGAAACAAGACCAGTCGGACGACGATGATTGGGGTGGGTTCGACGATTAGATGCGTTGTGATGGCGACAGATATACTACGGGAGTTCTTTGACATTGATTCACATTTGCATAGCAGGATAGGTATAGACAAAAATGATTTGAAAAGGGTAAAAAGAAACCCTATTTTGAAAAGAAATGGAATTGTACCAAAAAGGCTATAATAAAATACACAATTGGAATTGAAATGGAGAATGAACAAAGAAAAAGTATGCCACATGTATCCAACCAAAGCCGTGAATCGTGGGGATGCGAGAAAAGGATAAAGTAAAAATAAACTAAAGTACAGGACACGAAGTGAAATGGAGAATAAGAATCAATGCATGGCCTCGCCCGCCACACAGCCGACAGGCATCTAGTGACGCCGTGCGTGGGCGTGACGATGCATGTGCTCGCTGCGCTTGGCGGCACCGGCTGCCGAGGCCACGGCAGACGTCCGGTAGGGCGCCGAAGGGGACGAGACGGCCGACGACAAAGTGCAGGCCGTGGCTGTCTGGTAGATGGTCGACGTCGACGTCGAGTAGACGGTCACGGGGACTGTGACAATGGTCGTGGAAATGTCGGTTGGTGCGGCACAGCTGGTAGAGGCGGCCTCGACAGACGAGACTGTGGAGGAGGGGGGAGGAGGACGGGAAGAAAACGCGGAAGAGGACGGAGACGAAGAAGAGGCGGGTGTCACGACAGACGACGAGGAAGGAGGAGACAAGGCAGAGGAAGAGGCCGAGTGCACAAGAGGAGCCGACGACGATGACGAAGACGAAGAAGCCGACGAAGCACCGACAGCAGAAGACGACGAAGGAGCAACCGAGACGGCGGCAACCTGAGACGAGACAACGATGGACAACGCCGAAGGCGAGGGAGAGGGAGAGGGAGAGACAGTGGGAGAAGGAGAGAGACTCTCCGTCTTGGCGTCGGCGTTGGACACGGCGTGGTTGGCGACGACGGCAGGCGACGATGAGGGGGTCGAGGCCTTGGCAGACGGAGGAGCGGCAGCGGCAGCGGCAGACGAAGAAGAGCCAGACTTACGAGAGCCGTAAGCACTCGTCGCACCCGTCGCACCCGTCGCACCCGTCGCACCAGTGGGACTGGCTCCAGTGGCGCTGCCCGTACCGTACTGCCAGCCAAACAGCGGGTTGTTGCCGGGCAACGCCGACAGCACACCGGTGATGTCCTCGGGCGTCGGGTTGGGGATGTTGCAGTTGCCCTGGAGCACCGTCTCGACGCCGGCACACTGGTCCATGCCGGCGTCGCCAGCGTCGCACGTGTCGATAATGTGCTGCAGCACCGTCGTGTCCCAGGCGGCCAAAAAGTCGCCGTGCAGCGAGAAGCCGGCGGCGTCGCCGTTGGACAGCACAAACGGCTGGCTGTCGGCGGCGGCGGGGTCCCAGCGGTCGACAAAGAGGGGCGTGTTCCAGTACATTTCGTAAAAGAGGTGCGGCATGTGCAGCCAGCCCTTGGGGCAGTCCTGCTTGCCGTCGCCGGCGTCGGTCGGGAAGGCCGTGTTGCTCTTGAAGTCGGTCAGCGCCTTGGACGGGTCGTAGCACGAGGGGAAGTGCAGGTCGGCGCGCAGCGGCGAGGCGTAGCCGTCGCACTCGGCAAAGGGAAAGCCGGCGCCGGCGCCCTTATTATTCGTGTCCTGCAGGCCGGCCATGGAGCCGTCGGAGCCGACCGGGTACGAGGGCGGGTCGTAGCTGGAGCGCGGGCAGGTGAATTGGGCGGGCTGGATAGTGCCCTGAGATGGGTCGAGGACGTCGTTGCCGGTGGCCGGGGCCGTCTTGCGCGTGGCGCTGCCGCTGACCATCTGCAGGCCGACTGGGAAGGCCGTGATGTCGTCGTTGGTGGCCTCGAAGAAGTAGTAGACGTTCATGTAGAACAGCGGCACGGGCTCAAAGGAGCCGTTCTTGGGGTCGTGGAAGAAGACCTGCGGCATCCAGTAGGCGCTCTTGTCGCCGGCAATGTTGGCCGTGCTGCACGTCGACTTCAGCAGCGACTCGCCCGTCGCTGAGTTGCCAAAGGCGTTGCCGCCTTGGACGACGTGCACGTGCGACGACGGACCGCCGGGGCTGACAATGGGGTCGGTGCGGCCGATGGTCAGCGGACCGTCGCCGTGGAAGCGCAGGACGGCAAACGTCCGCGAGTCCTTGGCCGAGACGGCCGGGGCGATCGCGGCCAGAGCGGCCACGAGGGCCGCCAGAGATTTGGGGTTAAGGGAGGAGAACATGGTGAGCTGTGTCGAGAACGGACGGCAGAGGCAAAGTCACTGGGACAGATGGAAAGAGACGTGCTGTTCCGGAAGCACAGAATTTGAGAAAGAGAAGACCGTCGGGCGATAAGTAGCGAAAGAAGAACGAAGAACAGGCTGGCCTGTGTACACAGTGAAATGCGTCAAGCTGAAGAAGGAGAATGTATGCACCTGGCAAGATGCAGTGGGCAAGATAGGCCGCAAGGGGAAAGGAATGAAGACGTCGTTCCGTCAAGAAAGAACGTGAGTGTTTTGGTCTCGAGAGAACCAAAAAGCACAGAATAATAAATCAAAAGAGGAGAGCAAGAAGACGAAAAGAAAGGATGACAACGAGAAGCAATGGCACACGAACAACAAAAAGAATGTAAGTTTGAAATCAAAAAACGGAAGGATGGACGAAAGAACGGTGAAGAAGAGGAAGAGAAAGGGGGGGAAGATTCAAACCTACAAAACAACACAACAAACGGACGACGATGCGCCTTTATCTCGAAGTGAAGCGCTCGTCTCGCCGTGCCTCCCGTCGGCCAAACCGTCGATGCAACCTACCAAGGGGCCGGGCCTGCACGGCCTGGACGTTTTCACCCTGGACTAGCCCCAAGCCCTTGGTGAGAGAGCCCTTCGTAGAGTAGCTGTAGGGGCTTGTGGGGTTGCCCGATTGGTGTGTATTCCGGAGTATGCGATTTGCATTCATATTTGTTTTGAGAAAGCATCTACCTTTTCGTCTCGTACACGCCATCTTCACCGAGAACTGCACCTCGTTTTCGTAGATTAAGGGGTGTGCCTGACCTGGCCGCACGAAAACAAGAGGCAGCGTCGCTGGCTCCTGCAATACGATAACCATAATACCGTGAGCTGTGCAACAAGAAACATGTTTTTCGTGGGTAAGGACAGCTGACTGGCAGCGTGCAGATATAAAGGCCCAGAATAATCCGCCCGAATTTGTGTGCATCATCTAGCCACCTTTGTAACAAGCCCACAAAACGTAGTTGGAAAGAAAGAAAATGCTTGAAAATGGGATGGGTCTTCGTCGTCGTCGTCGTCTTCGTCGTTTCCTGACCGAAACTTTGGTGGATGCGTTCCCCTCTTCTCCTGTCCTCCCTGCAATTAAAAGACCGACACAAAACAACACCCCTGGGACCGCCAAACGAACGACCAGTAAAAATCACGATTCGCAGCAGGGTTTCGTGGTGTAAGCTGAGGCGCCGACAATCCGCAGACTGCCGTCGTTGTTTGGTATTTATCCCCGTCTTTTTATGTTGGCGCGTTTCAAAACGTGGTCGTTGGGTCCGGCCACGGACAGGCCCTGCCCCTTGCGGATAGCGTCCCTTTCATACATGCATCCAGGGGTTTGTTGACAGAGGGTGACCACAGCCGCCCGGTCCAGAATGTTCTGGTTTTGGCCAAGCTTATTTTGCAGAACCGCAACAAATCGAGAAATGGGACAATATACGCCGTAATTACGAATTGTTTCTCCAGAATAAAAAATAAGGTTGTTCCGTTTGGAAACCGTCGCTTGGGAGCCTCGGGCCTTTTCCTGTGGGCTATTCTTGAGGGCTAGGCAACAAAATGTTCGTCTCATATTCTCGGGGCCAAAATCGGGGGCCAATATCGGTCCATTTGCGGAGGTTGAGCTCGGCGAGCAGTCAATGCCAACGGACATGGAAGAAGGTGTCACGACGTACTGCCTTCCGGGGATTCAAGATAGGGGCTCTCTTCGACTTGTTTATTTCATACATTGAAATGCAATCCTTTTGTGTTTCCCGTCCTCTAATAGCCCCGATGACTGCAATTCAGTTTTCGCCGACGAGAGGACCTGTTCTCCCGTGGTCCCTTTTCTTTCGTTGTCCGGCTTGCTGTCCATATCCGTACTCTGTACGATGTACATGCAATTACAACATACTCCATCTAAGGCACCATGACGTCCCACACGCAATCCCTCCCTGCCCCTATTCACTTTGGGCTCGATGTGACGATAACGTAAGAAGACAATACTCCGTTCTCCGTACTAACCAGATCAATCAACGCCACCCTAAGCCTTCTGCAGACGCAGTAGACGTCTGATAAGAGAACAAATTCACCAGTTTGTTACATCCCAGAGTCTACGGACGGATTCAGAGTCGGGAGAATAGAAGGTATGCTCTTTGTGCGTAAGCCGCGTGCCGCTGTCTTGCAGCCCGTCTAGGCCTCTCCCGGTGCCTAGTTCCAACCCCCAAAACAGCCCCACACGCCACCGCCCCCGATCGCTGTAAACAAAGATGTATGCTCAGTAGGGCGCCGTGGACGATCCAGCAACAAGGCGTCCATTCCATGCCGGCACATCTTTGTAATTGACAGGAATTGTATAGACAAAGGTATCTCAGTCCAAGGAATAGATCGATACGTTCAAATTGCTAAACTGGAGCTATTCGTGCGCGTCTTCTACCTCGACAGCGAGGCATCTGTGTGCTCCGGCCACGGCCCTACTGTCTTCCACTTGCCGCCGTGTTTGCATTCGCATTCACATTTCCGCCGTATCCCTCCGTCGCTGGGGCGGCTGCACCGCTCCCATCATACGCGTCGGCACTCGTTTCGTGGGTAGCCACCGGTGCCGCGCCAGTCTCGGCGCCTCTGTTGCGGAACGCCGCCCCGGCGGTGCCTGTCTCGGCCGCCTTCTTCTCGCGATGCGCCTGCTCGTGGCGTGCCACCATGTCGTCTGCGGCCGCCATGTCGGCCTTGCCCTTTTCGGCAATCGTGTGGTGTTTGTTGGTGGCAGCGGCCGTTGTCGGGTGGCTCGGGTTGTTGTCAAACGTCTGGTCGACGGCCTCCATCAGCTCGCCGCGTAGGGCGTCGCCGGCACCACGGATGCCCTTGAGACCGGTGGTGACATCGTTGAGGAAGTTGGACATGGTGTCAATTGTATTTTTTTGGTGTTTTTAGATGTGTTTCTTTATTTGATGTTCCTCGATGTTTTTTGTTGGATGAATATGGAAGGCCGTGTTAGGTGGCTTTTGGCCTTTTGTACAGTGGACGTTGCCCCGCCACAGCAGCTTTGGTATGACGTCAATGCTCTTGCCAATAGCAGCACGTCAGTCGTCTGCACTATTATTTTGATACTTGGACACGGGAAGACGGTGCTCGTGGCACGTTTCAGAGGAGCAATGGTATTTATTTGTGACAGTTTTTGCAATGTCGATGCAGAAGTAGACCCGAGAAATAAAGAATGGAACAAAAAAAGAAACACTTGCTGGACTATCAACTAATCCAAGAGGCTTATTTTCCACTCGAAGAGGAAGAGAGGGCTTTGCAACATTCATCTGGGATAACGAGAAGTGCATCGGCATTGTTATTAGTTTCTTTTTAAATTGGTAATTTTAGGTTTTATTTTTCATTTTTATTTATATATACATATATATTTTGGTGCTGGATATACCAACAGATGAAATAAAATAAACATGAAAATTGAATGAATTGTAAGCGTCCAATTAAAACAGTAAGATTCTATGAACAATTTTATTACCGTACATATGCAACATAAATGACTACCATCGTTACGGTAAATTTATTAAAAGACGTTACTTATCACTAAAATGTAAACCTACATCGCCTCATTCACCACGAAGCAAGCTCGGCAAGCTTCGGATTCACGCAATCTACGATTCGTCACACCCAATGTCACTCGACTGAATGTCAATCTGCCCAGAATCTGGGATGGAAATCTATTTGAGCAGCATCAACCTTCCCCGCAAAGTGACTGCATGATCTGTTCTGGCGCGATCGTCATTATGACCGCATCTCATCTCATCGGATCGAGTGAGTGAGATTTCCGTCATACGGTTACTTCTGCTCGGGACCATATTCATAATAAATATAAACAAATATGCCTTACGCAATGGCATCGAGCATTTATGGTTTCAGCTAGTGTGACAGAGAGTCTGTTGAAATGGCTCTGTTCTCCTTACTAAAATCGTCGAGTGCCAATCACTATGGCTAAATCCTGAAGTAAGTCATGGTCAGTTACCCACCGCCTAGGAGTCTCCTTGTATTTCAAGTGCCGTTACCGTCTGCTATCTGTGCGAATTTCTGAAGTGTTGGTCCCAATGCCTCGAACCGACTGCCCGAGTAGAGCAAACTAACCAAGCCAACGAAGCCTTGCTATTAGTACTGTGAAGATGCTCAATGGGTGCAACAGCCGGCCTGGCTCCGCCCAGGTTCCTGGAATACACGCCATTGGTCCGTGTCTTACTTTGAGCTCTTCTAGAAGGACACAACCTTAAAAGCGCCTTGACTGACTCGTGCTGTCACTAGAGAGGCGGTCCTTGGCATAAGAGAGGCCTGAAAGAAACTAGCCAAGCATTCTGTCAGCTCAACTTTGGCAGACTTCAAATGCCAATTTCCGTCCCGTAATGGAGGCTCCTTCGCATGCAAGTCGCTCCTGCCAAGTGGGACCCCCAAGACTTTTGCGCCTCGTTCATTCTTTGACGATTCTCGCATTCTCGGGTAACACCCCCTATTTTCGGGGCCTATTATCCCCTCGAACAAGTACTTGCGACGAAAGGCAGCTGCGACCCTCCTACCTCCAGTCGTTCCGCACCTTTTCGAACCTGTCGCACCTCCTTTTGTTGGCGATGCTTTGACCAGTATTGTTTTTGGTTCCCATTTCTCTTCTTCACCGATGCTCCTCCGTTTTTGCAGCTCCATTCTTGGCTAAGCTGCCGACGAGCGGTCTTGGGGTCACATTTTTTTTTTTTTTTGCTTCTGCCTTTTTCTGCCTTTTTTTTGGGCCGAGTTTCACGTCCCTCTTTTGATTCCCACCGTCGCCATGATGTTCTTTCGCAAGGCTGGCACGGCCTTCTCCAGCCGCCGAGGCCCCCAATCCTTCTCGACGATTGCCCGCTTTGTCGTTGTCGTCGGCTTCGTCACCTTCGCCGCCACCGGCCTCCTCTTGACACAATATTCCCCCGACAAGGTCCGCAGCGTCGCCGCAAAGATCCCGCACCTGACGCTCAACCCAGACTCTGAAGCCCAGCAGGCCACCGCCGAGTACGACCGCCTCGTCGTCAACGTCTCCGACACAGACCTGCACCCCATTGACCGCCTCATCGCCGCCGCGCGCCAGGCCCACGACGCCCTTGTCGCGAAGCAATCCTCTGATGTCGCAACCGCCGCCGCCAAGTACCGCGAGCGCCGTGGCCGCCACCCGCCGCCCGGGTTTGATAAATGGATGGAGTACGCCAAGAAACACGATGCCATTGTCGTTGAGGACTTTTTCGACCGCATCTACCACGACCTGAACCCCTTTTGGGGCCTCGACCCCGACCAGCTGGCCGGCCGTGCCCAGTCCTGGCACCACGTGGTCCGCGTGCGCGGTGGCACGGCCACGGGCGTTGGCGACGTCACGGGCCGCGTGCCCTGGCTGAAGCTGTGGACCGACCTGGTGGCCGAGGCCGCGCCCTTTTTGCCCGACGTCGACATGCCGATCAACTACATGGATGAATCGCGGCTGCTGGTGAAGTGGGAGGAGATTACAGACCTGGTCAAGAAGGCCGAGGACGGCCGCGAGATTGTTCCGCGCGAAAAGGCACTCCAGCAATATCGCGGCCTTGCTTTCGTCGATGCCAAGAATGCCAACGAGACCCATGCCTACGACCCGGACTGGATCCACGAAAACTCCCCCCAGTACTGGGACTTGTCGCGCGCTGCCTGCCCGCCGAACAGCCCGAGCCGTAATGTACCGGCCCTCAAGGACTTCTCCCGCCCGCCTAGCTTGCCCTTTGACTGGCGGCCGGCCTACTCGTCCGAAGGCTATGTCAAGAACTTTACAGCATCCGCCGACCCGTGCACACAGCCACACCTCCGCTCGCTGCACGGCACCTTTATCGAGCCCCTCTCCATCTCGACCTCGACCGAGCTCATCCCCCTCTTTAGCGGCTGCAAGCTGCCCACCAACAACGACATTCTCATCCCTGGCGCCATGTACCTGACGGACGATCCGTTCTACTCGGGTGGCGACGGCCATGGACCCCAGTGGTCCCAGAAGGAGACGGGCATTGTCTGGCGCGGCGTCGCTTCCGGTGGCCGCAACAAGAAGGAGAACTGGTCGCACTTTCAGCGCCACCGCCTGCTGGAGATGCTCAACGGCACCACGGTCACCGCCCTCGAGCACGACGGCGCCCGCGCCATGACCTTTGAGATGGCGCCCCTGCAAATGTACAACTACCAGCGTCGCCATGACATGACCGTCGGCGATTTCCTGTCTGAATTCGCCGACGCCGGCTTCACCGACCTGCTGTGCTTCCCCTTTGGCGAGTGCGACTACGTCACGCCCCACTTCCAGGCTCTGCCCAGCAAGCCCATGGCCGAGCAGTATGTCAACAAGTTCATCCCCGACGCCGACGGCAACAGCTTCAGCGCCCGCTTCCGCGGCCTGCTGTTGTCGACCAGCCTGCCCCTCAAAGCCACCATTTATGCCGAGTGGCACGACGACCGCCTCGCTCCCTGGCTGCACTTTGCGCCCCTCGACAACACCTTCCAGGACCTGCACGCCGCCATCGACTACTTTACCAGCAGCGCCAAGGGCGACGCCGCCGCTCGCATGCTGGCCTCGGTCGGTAAGCGCTGGGGCGAAAAGGTCCTGCGCCGCGACGACATGCTTCTCTACACCTGGCGCCTGCTGCTCGAGTTTGCACGTGTCTGCGACGAGAACCGGCTGCTGCTCGGTTACACCGAAGACCTCACCCCGGCGGTACCGGCGAACCGATAAATGTTTTTTTGTCTTTTGTCCTTTGTCTCATATCTTTCTGTTTTTCTTTTTGTCGTTTTGCAATCCTTTTTCATTGCTTGTATAATTCCCCTATTGGCTTTTGCACCTTGTTTCGTTTACATTTTAGTTTGCATAGGCGTTCTTGGTATGGCGGTTTCCATTCGGCGCGAGGTTTCTTATATAAGGGCGGCGGTGTCTATTTCATTTTTCAAAAGAGAGAGACATGGTTGGGCGGTCTTCTCATATTACCATATCCGATAGCTATTAATTAATACGTTGACCATAAATAGTTATCCGACGATTGGCATGAATCTGGCACGGAAGTCGCGGTCGAGGAAGTTTATATACACGCTTCACGATACGTTCTGAGGTATCGCTTATCTACACGTGCAAGTAGATTATCTAATCACACGTGATGGGGCTTTTTCTGTAGGGCTTTCTAACCCTTCTGATCTTTGAAGACCCACTTTTTACACTCTCAGTGGAGATGCTCTTGCTGTCTCTCTCCTTATTCGCTAACACTCAACCTCGTTCTAGCGGATACTGCTTTTGGGGCAAGAGTGCCCCAAAACCAGGCGGAAAACTAGTATTGATTTTTTTGCACTACCGCAATTTTTTTTCGTCCTCCTTCCTGCTCTGTGTGGTGCCCACTCTCTGTCTGTCGGATTTTCAGTGCCGCTCATTTTGCAACGAGAGTCTCTTTTTTTCGTTCCAACCACCATCACGACAACAATCGACACCACCTCATCTTCTCCCCAGGTGACTCGGACAACACAGACACAATGGTACGATTGGCCCTGTTCTTCTCGACATCGACATTCGGCGACATGCGCACTATTTCCCAGTCGGCATACTGACGTTTTTTCTTCTTTTCTACAGGCGATCAAGCACAACAACCAGATCCCCCACAACCGTTCGTCGAGCCCTTCTCCCCTTCCAAGACAAGAAAGACGAGCCGAGATTTTCGACGACAAAAATGAAAACAGATCGAGCCGAGAGAGAACAATTGGACTGACTGGATTGCAACAGACTTCCGCAAGGATTGGCAGCGCCGCGTGCGGACGCACTTTGACCAGGTACGGATTAACTCTTTGGAGGACGAACGTTGGACAATCGACACGCCGCGAAATCGACTACGAAGACAACTGGACAGCATGTTGAATGAGGCGGAACCGAGGGTTTCGACATTTGAACGAGACTGCGGGACCCGTCGTGTTGAAATGCTGTCCGGATGTCGAAGCGATGGAAAGAGAATTGGGAGGATGGCAAATCGAAGCCATGCTGCACAGGAAAGACGATATGCTAACATGAATCCCCCCAAATGCAGGCCGGCAAGAAGCACAGCCGCCGTGTCGCTCGTCAGACCAAGGCCGCCGCCATCGCCCCCCGCCCCGTCGACCGTCTCCGCCCGATTGTCCGTTGCCCTAGCATCAAGTACAACCGCAAGGTCCGTGCTGGCCGTGGCTTCACCCTGGCCGAGCTAAAGGTGCGTCGACAGTCCCTTCCCTTGCCCATTTCTGCTTTTGAACCTGTTTCTCTAACCCCCACGTCCCAGGCTGCTGGTGTCCCCCGCCTGCTGGCCCCCACCATCGGCATCTCCGTCGACCACCGCCGCCAGAACCTGTCGGAGGAGTCCCTGGCCGCCAACGTCGCCCGCCTCAAGGCCTACAAGAGCCGCCTGCTCGTCTTCCCCAAGAAGGGCGCCAAGCCGACCGTCCCCGCCGGCCAGTCGGCCGCCCTGATCGCCTCCGCCCTGCCGATTGTCAGCTCCACCGCCGGCGTCACCGAGATCAAGACCAGCGAGCTGCCCGCGCCCCTCGAGGCCGGTGCCTACGCCACCCTGCGCAAGGCGCGGTCAGACGCCAAGCTGGTGGGCAAGCGCGAGAAGCGGATCAAGGACAAGGCCGAGGCCGAGGCCAACAAGAAATAGACTATGTCGCCTTGAAAAGAGGAGCCGTAGTGTATGGATGGTTTGGTGCGGAGCTGGGCCGGGATGTGAACCTGGAAAGGGAAGAAAAGGAAAAAAAAAGGGACAAAAAACACACAAAGGAAGACGGGGCGGTCGGGAGGCCAACGAATCAACAAAAAAACCAGAAAGGGGGTGTGGTCGCGCGACGTGCAGCGCCTGCAAAGGAGCCCGTGCTCGTCAAACGAGACTGCGGCGCGTATTTGCCATGCGTGTCAGTTTTGTGCACTGTCCCAAGACCCTCCCTCCGTTGCGAACGCCTCCCGCCGCACACAAAAAGGGTGTTTACACCGGTATTTTCTTGTTTTGTCTTTTTTTTCTGGGTCGTTTCATTTTATTATGTTATCCTTTTATTTCACTCAAACGGTGGGAGTTATGATTCAACCAAATACAAAAAAAGAGATAAAAGAACCAAAACCAACGTGCGGAATGAGTGATTCGTATGATCTTTTGAGTGCCTCAGATGGGGTGGGGCGTGCCATTACTACGGCCTTGCCTCGCCCTGATTGCATCAGTCTTTTGTACATTCTTTGTACATACTTGTATATCGACATGTCGTATATTTGCGAGATGAGGTGGTATATTTGCTGTTTTAAATGCTCTATCTAGATGTTTCGCTTGTATAAATCTGTCCAGTATTGTACTGGTATATCAATGAACTTTTGGAGTTTCTTCAGGTGCTTGAGCAATGTGTTGACATGATGTGGAGATGGTGGCCGGATGGCCGGTCCGAAACGTTGGCGGAAGATATTTGTGTTTTCCTTCACATTCTTACGTAGCCAAATCTTGGCTTTGCTCCGATCGGGCACTCACAACAAGTGCGCCGCCGGTTTGGAGCAGCTGCTCGAACACACCCCGTCGAAACGGCGGGAGGAAATGGGCGTAGCTCTTCATTATCTCGGCGATGAGGACCAGGCCGTTCTCGCGGTCGGTGCGGGCCATGCTCGCAACCTGGGCGGGATCGGCCTGCTGGGGCTCCAAACCAAGGCCGTCAATGTTGGCGGCTGATGATGACGGGGTTTCTGCGGCGATCGCACCTGCACCGTCACTTAATTTGTTCGGCTCCGATGCGGATGGCAGAGAGACTGGCGCGCCGGTGGAATCCGTCATTGCCAAAAGCTCGTCATCGGACAGCAGTGATGCGCCACCAGGCAAGCGGTGGCCCTCGACCAAGTCACGCCCCGACACGGCCTCTACGAGTGCTCGGCATGCTTCGAATGGCTGCAGGGCGCGCATGACCAGATGGGCGCCATCCGTAGACCGACTGAGAACGGCGGACACGAACCAGGTATCAGACCGCAGGACAGGGAAGCGCGTCTGCGTAATAAGATACGTGAGGCAGTCGGCTATGTCTATGTGGGCGGAATAAAACCGCGCTCGTCTTACACGTGCAGAGCTGTTTGGTAGAGAGGACGGATCCACTACGGGAGTGTCGTCCCTGTCCGACGATGTGGGAGCCGGGACGCTTGGCGGGTTTGGAGACGGCTCAGAGGACGAAATTCCGCTGTCGTTGGTCTGCATAGAGCCCGAATGCGGCGACGTCTCATCGCTGGGCTCCCAGTCTTCTGGCAAAACTTCGTCGGAATCGGAAGACGTGTGCAGCACCCGACATACAGCCGAAATTGCGCGGGCTGCTTCCATTTTCGTGTTCTCTTCCTCGGACCGCTTGAAGAGGGAGATGAGCACGTGCAGATTGCTCCGGTCATGGGCAGGTGAAGCCGGATCGGGGGACAGCGGTGCACAGATGCGCCGCACATTGGCAGGGCATGACGTGATAAGCAAGCGTGTTAGGGACACGGCAGCAAATTGGACCTGTGGCTGGTTGTTCGTGCTTGTCCACAGTCGAGGAAGGATGTTGGCAGGGGGGTCGAGAAGAGTGCCCAGGACAGGCTTGTTGACGATGGGAATGGCGAGGTTTTTGAGGTAGGAGAGCACAGAGAAGACGAGCTGGGAGCTGGGAGAAATACCCCCAACGGCTGCGTCGGACGACAGGTCGAGAAGACTTGCGTTGGGCTGTGAGAGAAGCTGGATGAGGGGCAGATGAATCTTGACGTCTTGAACAAAGTAGGTGCTGGACTGGTCGGACCGAGCCAAATTGCCAAGGGCAATGCACCCGGCCGTCTTCAAATGAACATTCGTATAGGTGTTGGAGACCCACGACTGCAGTATGTGTACGGGCACCGAGCTCAAAGTGTAATGTGTCACGAATGACGGGAGAGCCACGACATCGGCAATGATGTGCATGAACCGGTTACCGAGGGCCTTGTAGTCGGCGGCGTCTTCGGGGTCCATCTGAGTGACATCGTACTTGGTGTAGGAGTCGGAGTAGGCCGTCAAAAGCGCCTGGACGCCGTTTTGGCGGATAATCTCTTCTTGGAAGGGTTCATGGGTGAGATATGCGAGCGCGACAGACACGAGAACACTGAATTCCTCAATGTCGAGGGCGTTCTCGGGGCTGACGGCTAGTTGCAAGAGGTATGCTGGTGTCGCAGGGTCTGCCACAGCCACCTCCGATTCATTCGCAACTAGCAGACCGAGGAGTTTGCAAACAATATTCAAGAACGCTCGGCACTGGACCAAGCGTGGGCCTGACACGATGGAGATTAGGCCGCGGCTCAGATGTGTCTGAATCGCCTGAAGCTGCGCCGGTTCTGCGAGAGGTGGTCAGAAAATCACGATATGGAGGAGGGAAAGAAGGCCAGTAAATCACGCAGAATTGTGACGTACCATAGTCTACGCAGATGTTGTAAAGCACCGGAATGACGAAGGCCAAGGTCGAGTTATCGCCGAGGAGGGACACAATGCGCCCGATCTGGTTGCCGGCCACGACACGGGCGCGGTTATCATCTGGCGATGTTGTTAGTAACGGGAACAAGTAGACGGTGGGCAGGGGTGCATGGGGCAGTCAGAGATGCATAGCATCTCCCCTCTTCGTCGCGAACTCACCCTCATCTGCGCAGGAGTTGCCGATTAGGCGCAGGGTATGAATTTTGAGAGATTGTCGCAGACCGTCGACGGACAGGATGCCGAGAAAGAAATCGAGCAAGCCCGACTCGCCTATTGGTATCCGCCATGAAGCTGCACTGCGTTAGTACGGAATATGCCTCGTTGACCACGCGACCCAACGAAAAGGAAGGGGTAGGGCTTGCGTACCATCTCGGCTACCGTCGCCCAGGATCTCGGCGGCCAGGTCCATGCTCGGAGACCCTGTGACCCAGTAGTGCCGTACCGCGAGCAAGACCTGCTGCAGGCTGGCCACCCGCTGAGCTTTCTCGGCCGCTGTCAGCTCGCCGGGGCCGTTCGGAGATATGGCGGAGCCATTGTGGGCGGTTAATCCTGAGGCGGGGCCACCTCGTTCGAAAAGAAGCTGGATATCGGCCGGTCGCATCGTGGGGCAAAGCGGAGAAGGAGTTGCAGGGTGGATCGGCAAGAGAGCGAGAAGATTCGGGACCGAGAGCGGTGCCCGGCCAGGCGGAGATAGGCGGGGTCAAAGCCGCGGAGGACGTCGATGGGCCAAACGTCTCAATCGACAAATATGTTAGGCGGCGTACCAAGGGCGCATAGAGCTGGGCATTGGCAGCTCGGGCGTTTGACAGCTGCTTCGGTTCAATCCGAGTTTTGCAGACAGAGCGGCGTCGAGCGGGAAAGGAGCGAAGGAGAGGAGGGCGAGCAACGACAAGGCGTGAACGGCGAAGAGGCAATGGAGCACAAGAGCACAAGAGCGTGAGAAGAAGAGCGCATGCGGAGGCGGCACCGTTGCTGACAAGCAGAGGTTAGGCAGAAACAAGAAGGAACCGTAGCAGAGCAAGCCTATCTGGCGGGAAGAAGGTGGTTGCTGTCGGGGCTGCTACAGGACTGGCTGCTACTGTGTATGTGTGATGGGGGGAGCGAAAAGGTTGCCAGCCGCAGAGACGGGTGCGGGCGTCTGTAGTAACCTATTTGGGACGGACAGGACGTGTGAGGACCGGCGACTTTTTTAGTTGGTGCGGCAATTGGCCTGGGCTCTCGGCCGCAAGTGGGCACCCTGAATTGCCAGTGCTGTGGTTCGTCAGCCGTGGCGAGTCAGGCCGTTTGTTTGGTGTGAGGTTTTTGTTGGAAGACGAAATTGAAGACAACGGGAGAGGCGCCGGTGTGGCTTGCATGCACAAACAAAACATCAGAAAAGAGAAAGCGCGTAATGTGACAGGTTGCGGATAGCTCTTGCCGTGCATGTCTTTCTTCGGCCGGATTAAGTTGATGAGGGTTTCTTTCAGCACATAATAGGTGCAAGGGCTCGCCATAGCAGCACTGCAGCCGTCAGACACACAGGCGGAGTTAGTCAAATTTGTGGCAAACGGGTGTTGAAAGCTCAGCAATCTTGGCAGACGGTGGTAAGAGGCAGTGTTGTTCTTGCTCCTTCCCCGGCAAGGGGCTTGACCCTGCCAATCTCATCCTGCTTCGTAAGGGAAGGAGCGAAGGAAACAAAAAGGCAGGCCTAAAAAGGGAATCGCGCTGTAGCATAACTGCAGAGGCACTTGAACTGGTACATCCATCCATACCAAAGCTTCTTGAGAGTCGGTGCAAGAGGTAAAGCATGGTAGGCTCGCTTAGCTCTCTGTCGTCGTGTATTCGTATATCCACTGCAACGACCATATGAAACGAAGGTGATTGAATGAGGTCGCTGGAACGCAGTGGAAGCCATCGAAGACGGGCCGTGTGGCAGGCATGTTTATTGGGCAAGAACGGGTAGGTACACTGTTGGTGGACCGGGAAAGTGCAATTGCCTGCTATTGCCTTGAGAACAGGGCAGACAAGCGTGACAAAAACGAGGAAAGCAAGTGAGACTGAGGAAAGTGCAAGCAACGGGATTGAGCGAATCCCTGCGGGATTCAATCAACGAGAACAAAACAACCTGCACGTGTATGAAGAGGAAGGGGAAAGAGCGATCAAGTCAAATCTTGAAAAATTGAAAAGAAGAAGAAACT